CGCGATTAGGGGTGTCTCGTCATATTCGAAACCAGTTAACCGGTTATTTAATTGAAGGCTTTTTAATTGAAGTAGCCTTCTTTTGGTAAAGACGATTATTTTCTCTTCGAATTTCCATCGTTTCTACGATTATTAAAATTTTCAAAACCCCTTAACAGTTTCTAGTTCACGAATCAACAAATTTTTTTATTTTTCACGTCCCAGTTCTCGACAATTACGACGACCTACAATGTTCGATCAGAAGTGGTTTCGGGAGCAGCGAATAAAATCACCAATTCGTACGATGTTTACTTTAAAAAGATAGTTAAAAACTATGCTGAAACTAACGTTATTTGTATTTGCTGATAACAAGTGCATTTTTCATCCGGTAGCTACCTATGAAAAAATTGTCGAACATTACCTATTTCCTAACGCACCAGGGTGGGGGGTTCGGTTAACTTAACCGGTTAACTGGACGCGAGAAGGATGGAGAAACCGGTTGTGGGAAAAATCGAATCACTCGACATACCCGATCCTGATTCACAGGTGCATCTGCACGGATGCGAGAGAGCCACCGGTTGTGTTCCTTTCGACTTCCCGGTACATCCCCAGTGCAGCGATGACCACCATGGGAGTTTTAAGAGACAAAAACCTATATAACCCCGATACAGTCTCTCAGGAGGCTGGGGCATGTTTTGAAGATTTTGTTTTGAAAATTCTTTTGGAAATCTTTGAAAGATTTTTTTGAAGACCTTCGGCAAATTCTTTTAGAGATCTTTGGAAGATTCTTTTGGAAATCTATGGAAGATTGGGAAGATTTGGAAGAAATCTCTAGAACCCACGTAAGAAAAAAAAGAAAAGAAAGAACAGAGGGTGGATTTTGGCGGAGCAAGAGGGCGCTAGCCGCCGAAGATGACGAAACGCGTGTGTGCGAGGGTGTCCACGGGCATCCTCTTGCCCTGTGCGTGGTTTTCCGCGCGGGGACACACGCTACCGCGTGTGTCGAGCACGCGTGCTCGCGTGACGATGGGCGTGCGTGTGAACTCACGCGGCCACCTCCGCGCCTCGTCGGTTTTCTCTCTCGATAACGCGTGTGCCAGCATTAATGTTTGCAGTCACAAGTTGGGAAGTTTTGTGATGGCAACCTCGAGCGGCCAGTTACCAGGGAAACGCTTTGTTGTGCCATTGCGTCGAAGCCCACCGGCTCCAGTCCAGCCGTCCGCCACCCCCACGCGAACCATGTCGCTACCTGAACGCGACCTAACTCGACCTGACCTAGCCCAAACTAGCTCGCCCCGCCACCCTCAGCGCCATCTGGCCAATCCTCGAACCGCCTTTCCCTTGGAGCCCGCTCCCCACAATTTCCCGTGGAACGCTCAATATCGCGCTCGATTCTCCAATTATGAATGATGTCTATACGTATGTGCTTCGACGTGTAGAGAGTACATCGTTATACTATTCGTGACTCGGAGAAGGTACGGGACGAATGGGACGAGAAACCCAGAAGGAATAGAGAGGGTGGCAGGGGGTGCAGAAAGTGAAGACGCTGGAGTAAGAGGATGGAAGGGTTGAAAAGTGGATCAGCAGAGCGAGACGGGGATGGAGGTTTATCGATGGAGGGATTTGCAGAGATTTTGGAGATAGATCATCGAGATTGAACCGGGGGCTGCAAAGTCCTGCTGCTGTTTCGGGGCGGGGTGATAAACGTGCTAAGGGTTAACCCCTTGCACTCGAAGATTTTTTCGCTATACAGGCGTAACGATTCGAAGCTTTTCTTATATTTTTCTGAGCTCGGTCATTTGCTCGGCATTTATAATAAAATGAAGAAAAAGAATCACGCGTAGATACTTCTAATCTAGCTATTTCCTCATATTCGTTACTTAAGATTCGAGGTATTAACCATTTGCACTCGAGAGGTCCTTCGACCGCCATTTGAGAAAATTTCGAAGATCGATATTAATTAATATATCAAATTTAAAATAATGTAACGAAGTATCTAATGTGTGAGGTATCAAAATCAAATAATTATACGTATTAATTATTACACGATTTCTTATTTTTTTATAAAAAATATTCTCAGCTTTATAGCAGAAAATCTTCGAACCCCTATCCTTTCTCAGCCAAAAAAATGCCTGCAAATGGTTAAAACAAACGATGACTGAGAGTCACCGCTCCAGTGCAAAGGGTTAATGGAGTAGAGCGGGGATTTACCGGAATTCGCGAATTAAATCGACAGTGAATTAACGATACATCGTCGTAATTTGATTCTTCGGACTCCACCGTCGCCATTACGGAGACAGTGACGAACTCGCAATTGCGTTATTCCAACCCATTTTTATGCGATGAGATAGATAGCGAACGAGGCTTCTGTGTAAATAAATTTATCTCTTCGAATATTTTCTCACGAACAACTTTTCTATGTAACAGTACGTTTGGAATTGCTGGAATCGATCGAAAAATTTTCTAAGTGCAATTGTCTAACACTAAACCTAACCTATAACGAGTACATAAATACATTATATACGAATAAGAATAATTATCGTGATACAACAAAGATAGATAATTGAGTATAATTATTTGAAATAGAAATCAGCCTTAATTTTGTCAAAGGTGATTTCTTATTTCTTAAGAAATTAAAGAAACAAAATCCCCGGGGCGAGACGTCGTTTAAACCTGTTTGGTAATTTTTATTTTGAGGTTAGGTCGTGTCGCGTGTCGCTTTCATGAGAAATTTGTAGCTAAAAAAGGAAATAAAAAATCAGGAAGGAAACGTGAATGGATCTGAATTGACTAGCTGAGAGGCACGCGTGCGCATGAATCGAATAGAATAGTACGATCGAATACTCAACAATGTAATCGGCGAATTAATTGCGGAGCTTGGCAAACACTGTCAGAAGCGGTTAGCATTACGAGGAAATAATAGGCATTAGAGTCGAAGTTCACGGTGGAACGATCAGAAGATATGCTAGTAAAGGACAAGGAAATCGTCAGTGCACATGGGATTGTCCGATAACTAGTTAACAGTATTAAGAAAATTAGCAATGTCGTCGATTCCCTAATAATTGTTCTATGAACGTTATCAATGTTGAAAATTCGATTCGAGCAAATATAAAAGCACGTCGATAATTGAAAAGTGGCCACGAGATAACGAAACAAATAAAATTTCGATTGTTTTCTCTTTCAATAAAATAACATAATTAAAATCAATTTATGCGATAAAACGAAATCGATGTAAGCATTCGGAGTGAATCAGGAGATCGTAATGTAAATCGATAAAGAAGAGCCGTGACTATGTGATTTACGTGTATCGATAATTTGCAATCTTATCGACGATTAAATCGAGTGGAAAATAAACCGTTGGAAAATAAGCGTGAAACGCGCAAAGAGCGTGAAATTTGGAAAAAATATTCGTCGAACGTTAACGCGTCTTCTTCCTGTTAATTTTGATTTAACATGGCGCCATCTACTTTTAGAGCGAAGCAGTATATTGTCGCGCAAATATTTCTCGAATAAAGCTCGGTGCACGCCTGACTTAACATCGATCCGATAAATTTCCGTCGAACAGATTCTCGATCGAATCGAAACACTAATCGAGTCATTACAACTTAAGAGGGCCACATTTGTCACACGCAAAAACGTTAATCCCCGCTCTCGTCGGATAACATCGTTCCCGATTCACAGAGGGAGTATGTTTCGACGCAAAAACTACGTAAAACCGATTTTAATTCCGCACCAGAATTTTACACGATAAATCTATTGCTCACTTATACACTCCCAGCCGTTATCGTATCCATAAAAGCAACCTCTAGATGCTATTTAATCAGAATTCACGTATTACCTAACGATAACGCAGAATATACCGTATATAAAGCATTATGCAAGTAAACACGTGATACGCAAAAAGTATTGTGTCATTCATTATGGAATATTTTTTCCATACATTGCTACGCCTTGCATTGGATAACGCGAGTTAGATAACGAAAAGTCGTTGAAACGATACTATAAAGTTATTCTTCCGGATTCGAATTACATACACGACGAGCACTTGCGAATCATTCGACGAGATTAACTCGAATGCAAAATACGTGTACTCGGTTCAGCGTTAGAAGCTATATACCATCCATTCTGAATATGGCGCAAAGCAGCAAATGCGATACGTACAGTTTGTGTTCTTATCAAACGAGATAACGTTCGTAGAAATATTGACGCGTTGCTCTCTTTCATCCAGTCGATTTGTCAGAATACGACACTGAACGGTAGAAAAATTGATCGAATAAAAACCGGTACACAGACACCGCATGTCCGCGCGTTCATGCTACGGCAAGATACACGAATATCTACGGACATGTTTGGCCTGGTCGCATGGCCGAAATTATTGACTTAGCTGTCGGTTCAAAGCGTCTAAAAATGCACGGCGTAGAATTACCGCTGGAAAAACATCGAGTTCGTTATCGTACTCACTATATAACCTCAACGATTTCGTTAATGATTCGTACGATTTCCTCTACGGAATTGCTATGAATTTCGGATTCGAAAAAGACTCGAACGATCGTCCTACGGCTTGACCACGCGTACGGAAAAGGGCTGACGTGCGAGGGTCAGAAACTAACCCCCAAAAAAATGTATACGTCGTCCCTTCCGAACGAAACACGCTACGCTGGCGTAATCACGAAAAGCACGCAAAATTTGGCACACGAACGAAATAGGATTAAAGTATAATAAGATTTTCGACTTACTCGATACGTAGAAGAACTCCAGAACTCGATAAACCGGATGAATTCTCACTCACAAACACGAAACTTTACAGCAATCACGGTACAATGGCGAACAGCGGGTGCGTAGCAGGGACTGAGCTAATACTCTTGCCATCTGTCGAGCATTTTGCCAAGTTACCGGCAAAAAGAACGTCTTCCATTGGTCGATCTTGACCAATAAGAATTCTGCTTCGGTTTACGCGGGAATGCTTTGGCGCCACAGCGGCCATATTGAAAATTCGTTCAAACTGCAGGTTGACATACGAAATGTCGGAAAACGAAGACTGCAAAAATCATAACGTTGAACAATCATCACCTGGTAGTATAAAATTCATATTTCACTCTCTATTTCTTATAATTTCGAATACTTTTTATTATAACGAATTATTAAAACGTTCATAAATAATATAACATTTAAATATTACATTGGGAAATGATATAGTTCGACGAAAATGGAATTTTTATCAATTATACCGGATGGATAAGGAGATAGATGATATTAAAACACAATTATTAGAATGTGAAACAGAATATGAACATACAGAGATCGAAATATATAATTTTGATCAATTAAAAAATAAAGGAACATACGTATTGAAAAATGTGGAAAGACAATACAACAATTTGGATGAAGAATTAAGGGGAATTCATAGCAATTATATAAAATGTATTGAGAAAGTAAATTTCACAAATGGAACTATGCAGCAAACAATGGATTCTTTAACGTTAGAAAGAGATAACTTAAAAAAAGAATTGGACGAGTTAATAAAGACAGCAGACGAAAATAACAAGAAATTGATGGAAATAGAAAAGATGATTACAATCCAAGAGGTACATTCCGTGTATATATATTATATCAACTCGATGGACCGAATTTTTATGTATATTTATTTGTAGAAGAAGAATATAGCACTGACACGAAAATTGAAACGAATTGTAAAAAATGTACATATACCACCAAATTTAAAAGACAGGATAAATATGATCTTGACTGATCCTAGAATTACTAATGTACAAAATTCTAATCAACCTAGAGACTAATAAAAAAATTGTCTAACTATAATTTGATTATATACTATAATAATTCATAAAGTTATAAAATAAAACATATTATATATACATTAATTGCTGATTTCTTACATTATCTATTACTTATTTGAGATTTATAACCCTATTCTATTATCAGTTATTCGCGGTGTAATAACGTTATGCATTTTTCTAAACCTTCCATCCTTTTTTCTAATAAATCTTGAACAATGGATGATCTACTTAGGGATCGCGTTATGCTATCATTAATGGTCATTATTTCTGTTCTCTTATGCGTAACTTCTTTCATTAAAATTGCATTTTCTTCTTCTATCTCGTTTACCCGTTTTTCCAACAACTCGCTTTCTTCCTTGATTATCTGGGCGTCAAGTGAACGTAAATGTAAGAATATGTTACCTGGTGGTCTCCTAAAAGAAAAATACATTAACATTTAGCAACCAATAATAAATTAATGTCCAGATATCGGTAAATATTTTAGCTCACCAGGCATCTTCGGTCACGGATGAATCTAAGTCTATCAATTTTGCAACTTTCTCCAATCCATCCTGCAAGCTTCCTTCTCTTAATATGTCTTCTAAATCTTCGGTCATATTATCGAGAAGCTCCTTGCACAGCGCTTTGTACAACTTCTGCACGATATTTGGTTTCGACTTCAGAATTGTAAGAATATCTGCAAAAGCATCTCCACTGAAAAATTTTCAAAAACAATTCAAATATTCGTCAAAAGTAACTAACCAAATGGAATGCAAGTTTTATGAATTTTACAACATCCTAATTACACTTTCTTACGAATGTTAATTACTCTCCACTTAGACTCACTTAACGTAATTGCAATTACTCATACATGGAAACATATAATACAAACGATAATACATCTTGCTCGTATTTTCTCATTTTATTTCGCGATTGGTTTCATTAACGTGAGATCGGATTGTAACGAAAATGCAAGTACGCGTTATTGCGTGTACAACTCGAGCGAGAAATATTCCTTTTATACCAACACCTGGTCAAATAAACGTGAATGATGTACGTTCAATGATGGTTGCGCGCATGTAGTGGCTCTACTATCGCTGGGATCAAATTTTTCTTTGTTTACCATCCACAATGGATCGCGCGATTCAATGGGGGAAGGAACCAGTATCCGGACGAGCCAATCCAGTTCTGTAGTATTATAAGCACACAATAGTAACCCGTAATCGCGTTGCACAATTTCCGGAATTTTTGTGTATCAGCATAATGATTAACGAGAAATCTTTCCCAAATTATGAAAGTGTAAGAGACTAGGTGGTTCATCTTTATTAATATGTAATACAGTGTAATTTCCAAAAAAATTTCACACATTTAGAGAACATTATTCGAGATTAATATACAATTTATAGGCCGATATAATATACATGTTAAATATACTATGCATCATATTTTTGAGTAGGATGCGTAAGAAATTACGAACATGAGACCACACCTTCGATTCTTCTTCCGTTGATTTATGCGCACTCAATCAGGCCGGGACGGGTGCAATTTGATGTCGATACTACATATTTGCATTAGTCCTGACCTAACCGAGTACGCTTCGTAACACGTTCCTCCATCGTTGAATCTCGACTGAATAATGATAATCTTCTCTTCACTTCTATGAGGTCATCGAGAAAAAATGTTACCGTACGTTTCGATATCGAGAAATAGAATTGCACAATTATTAAGAAAACGTGTAAATAAAGAAGATAAAGTATGATAATGAAGAATGCAGTCGTAGAACACGTTCGTCACTGAATTATTTCAACGTGAGAATAACGGACGAGCTGAGGCACACGTACGATCCCCGCGACACGTACTGTACGAATGATGGAGCCGAACGATGGTGACCACACCAGGGACCCTTTGTTTCCTCGAACACTTCGTGGAATTCTTCGAAGGTCAACTGGTGTGTTGGGTTTCAAAGAGCAGCAGATTCTGGGAAGCGAGAACCGAAGGGAACCAATTTCGAAAATCGACCGGTCGCGCCCACGGAACCATCAAACAGTAGTGGACAATTGTTCGGCCACGTGAACATCGACAAATTAACATGCGACTTCCAGCGAGGCCAATGACATCGAGTAACACCATCGCTCGTTTGGGTCATTGGCGATCCCTCCTCCTCCCCTTCCACCTCTTCCTCCTCCTCTTACCGCCGATAAACGAAACATCAAGCTCTCTAAAATGTATTACTACAACGTTCTGGTCGGCCCCCGCTGGTTATGCGTTCCCTTTGGCTTTGTTAATTAAAGCAGCATTCTTGACCGCGGCTCGTACTTGACACACTTACGTTGGCAATACTGTTATCGTGTAAACGTACGCGAGAACAACATAACCTGAAATTCAACAATAGCCTGGCAAAACCTGGTTTCGTACTATAAAGCCTGCAAATATTGTACGCTTCACTTGTTTTTCGTACTTGCTTCTCAAGTATCATGTAGTAGTATCTTTATGTTCTATGGTATTTATATTTTGTAGCCTGATTATTGAATATACATTCGCTAATTCTATACAATCCGATTGTCCAAAGTATATTTTGCACTAATAACGTTTAGGATTCCTTCTCGTTTATTCACTATTATATTTATAGATAGAATTTACGCAACAAACATCACGTAACATTATTATGCAAATATTATATTTTTTCTGATATGTATATATATAAATAAAATTTATAAATAAAACGTACTAAATGACGAAAATGAAATAAAAAAAATTTCAAAGGTTTGAAAATTAATTGATTGCGCATGCGTCTGTATAGCTAAAAGAACCGCGAACACCACACTACGATGGGTTGCATAACCTCCAAATATAATTCCTATACACGAAACATTTTAGCAAGGTACTATAGACAATATGTAATACGTAAAGTAGTAATAAACAGTACACTACTATGCATCGGAAATGAGGAAATTTTATATATTTTATTCAAAACAATGTTGCTTACCTCACCGATTCTGCGATGTATTTAAAGCTATTTAAAATTGCGAGCCGAAACAGAAAAACATTGTTTGGATACCTCTGTTCCTGAACCTCCTCCATTCTTAACTGAATTAAGTATAATTACGAAGTTCTCGAATTTCAGTAACTGGACACTTCAACAAAAGCTGGGTATAACGGTTCTTCCAATCTACAGAATGCGAACCTCTACTTTCGCGTCTCAGAACTGTTGGAAATAATTCAAATCGTTTGAAAGTATGCCGAGAACTTCGAAGTAGTTTGAAACACTGCCTATAGATGGCAGTTACATGCTTGAAAGCAGCTTCATTTCGATGTTACCAACATTTCGTTGAGAATTAACATGTATATCCTGATATTCAAATTTTTGGAAGAAAAATATTTCCCATGAGAAAAAAATATAAAAGAAATAATAAAAATATAAATGTAAATTACAATATAGAATCTTACAGATACTTTTAAGCTATGCGTGATAATTTTTATGCGTGATACATCTTTTTCTAAATATCGCTATTGAAAAATAATTATATTAGAGAAATATTACATTTCGAGATATTAAAAGAAGTAATTCTAATAGCTGGCAACAATTAAACATCTAAAAGTTACTCGATTAAAGTGAAAATTATTTCACGCAAATAAAACGAATAACAAGAATAATAATAAAGACGGAATGAAAGATACATGTATATCTAGCAATGAAAACAGATGCTGTGACGAGTCTCGCAATAACTTACTTAAATCTAATTAACATTCCATTCAAACTACACACGAATGTTACTCGACTATCCTAATCACCTGTGTCACTATTAATTAGACCTAACGTCGCATCAACTTTAATTAGCATGTATTCCTTCCAGTGAAATCTACTAAATATGCAAGACACGAGAGAATCGCTATTACACATTTTCGGAGACATACTGCGAATGATCAGAAATAAATTAGACAAGAAATAAATTCATTTTCTTCATTTGTTGAAAAGACAAAATTATTTCTAACACCTTGAACTTAATACCACCATCAGTCAGAGTTACATGCTAAATTTTCCATATAACAAGCATAATACAAACGGATTGAACTCGGGTTCACATCAGGTTCGCATGCTTTGACGTCGCAGGCGCGCGTCGTTCTGAGCCAACGGTTCGAAGGACTTGCTCTTATACTCCTCAGCGTCCAAGGCGAACAGGTCGGGTCCGGGAGTCGGTATACAGACTAGAAATTGGATCATCTAGCTTCATAGCTCGGGGCTAATGGTTTTCAGCTTCGTTACAGCATGACTGCACCCCTACCCTCGGCGAACAGCAGTGTTACAAGCGTTCCTCTGTGCCTTCAGCTTCAAAGGTCAACGTTGACGCTAGAAGAAGAGACGTTCGCCGTTACTGTAGATTCTCAAAGTAGCTCACGTTGAGTTGAACCGATGTGATGCTCCTCCGTTCCATTATGCAACCGGTCTGAACTATATTTTCTTTCCCCGTAGCCGTGAGCCAGCTCACGGAGAGAAGGCTCAGAGCGCTACCGTGGGCACCCATTCACTCGCTCACTCCGGAGACGACCCTCTCTTAAATCGAGAAAACAGCATCACCTCGACGAGTCTCGATCACGTCGATTGCGGGATCATGGAGGATCCCGGATCGAACGATCGCGATACGTTTTCAAATTCCATCGACCAGGATTCATCAGTGGCGATCTCTGACAAAAGACGGGTTTGCCAACGTTTCTTTGTTCTCTGGGTCCTTTTACCATCCTCATCCTGCTCGATTACATCGTCCGACTTGGTCGTAGCCCGGAGGTATCTCTAGGCAGAAGGAGAAATGTTTAAATTTTACACGTTGCCGTGAACGCGAAGCGATTATCGTCACGATGGTGCACTCGGTATCTCAGATGAAAGTACCAGCACGTATTTTAAGAATTCCAATGCACGAGAATCCTCCATCAGTTGCGTCAGGCTGCCGCGTAGAATTACGAGAAGATAGCTGGAACGTGTGCTCGTCCACTTCGTCATCCTCCCTGTTATCATCGCTATACCGTCCACGCGGTTGCGTCAGGATGTACAAGAACTGCCTAAACCGCAAATTTCTTCCCCCTTCATCGACCTCCGTGGCGTAGTTCTTTCGAAATGATCATCCTTACATCGAGATGGTAACAAAGCAAGGCTCAGGAGACTCCATTGGAGGGAGGCATTATGCGTGCAGTCCCTCCTATTCGAGATCATTATTCAATAACGACGTGTGAGCCGCTTCCTCAATTCTGGTCCGTGTCTTATTCTCTTAGAATCTGTAACGTGGAGAAAGTTGATCGGAATTGTCGCCCGATTATTCTGATTACGAGAATACCGTCCTGGCACTGGGGCACGAAATCGTTTCTCCTCGCTCATGCCTATACCGCATTATGTACATAACTGCAATTAGCCAACCTATCAAACCTGTATGAGAATGTTTCTTAACCCATTAAACTTCAACCTCTTCTAGATGAACGTACATTTCTGTTGCGATATATCTGTTGCGTAGCGTATAGACTGAAATCTGAAATACGCCGATAGATCCACCGATGGATAGATCCTGAACGAGACAAAGGTTCCGATCTTCTCACTGGACAGACGAAGGACCCAGCAGTATAACCGATCTCTGTCCCTAAACAGAAACACCAGGAAAACAATAAGAGGGTTAAAACAATGTGGAATTCCTTCTGCAAGGTATCACAGCAGCAACTCCATATTCAGTCTCTACCGCGATCAGGTGTCTGAGCGTGGAAAACGATGGAACATTGTACCGTAGTTTGCTTATTACTCTAGGCTAGGATCTCGTCTTCTCATGCACGATCCTTTTTTGGCGACAGCGCCCAACGTTGGAGTGGCTCGTTGAGCATCGAAACCATGGCGGAACAGTTCTCGATGAAGCGTTTCGCCGATGAACCTCACCTCTGGCATAACACGAGCAGCAAGATAGATGAATGCGCGGATAGCGCGCCAAAGGGCTGGGTCTTCTCAAAGCGTATCGGTGTGTTCGGCGACTCGATCCGTTTAGAAAGCATCCTAGTCTATTCTTTCCGAGCCCAGGTATACATTGTCTCGAACGGTCGCGGTATCCTATTATCGAGGCTCTGGCTCACGATTGCCCTGTTTTTTGCGCTAGCCGCACCCCTGCTGCATCGGTTAATTCGAATGGCTCGCAACCGAGCGATCCCTATCGATCATCGGATCACGCTGATTTCTGTATTCCGTCCAACGTTTCTGCTCCATTCCCGATATCCTTTATCTGATCCTGCCAGAGATGCTTCACGGATCGGGTCTGGTACCAGTGATCGGTAGATAAGCGTATTAACCCCTATATCCAAGTGTCAGCCTTAACCAGCTACTTGTCTCAGCCGAATTTGAAGAATTTAGTAGCCGACAAAACGAAACACGGATAAGGTCATCGGTTCTCTCCTTTGTACGAGTTTTCCTGAGAAACTTAATATCTCGTTTGCCGTTGGAGAACGTGAAGCTAGTGGAGCGGAGGCTGAGCATGGAGCGGACAGATGAGAAATGCATGGGAAAGAGCGATGTGATTTATGGTTTTCCGTAGAACTGATTTTACTTCTGCCTCGGTACCAGTCGCTTTGTCGAACCATCAAAGCGAGTCCGCGAAAGGCACGGGACTATAAATCGATTTTAGAAATTAAAGAGTTTACATAACTGCGAGGAGCATACCGAGATAACTCGTTGGGGGAGTGAGATGGATTACCTCACCGATTCAGCAACTTTCTTTCACAAACGCTTATTATAAGCATCATAGGAAGAAAGTATGACCGATTACGCAAGACATTTCACTCACCCTTTAGGTGATACACGTGTGCTATAGCGGCCGTGACGTCACAGCGAGTGCATCGGAAGGATGCAATCCTTGAACGGTCCAGGTAGACCACATAAGTATATATCCTAAGTTAAGATCGGAATTGCAAATTTGCGCGAGCATTAATTTCAATTCCGTGCACGAATCATTTTTCTTTAGCGCGATTTTCTTCTCTCTCGCGGTGAATCCTACGGTGTACACAGAGAGATGAACACATTCTCACGGGTAGCAATCATATCCACTAATACACGTTTCTCACCAATAACGCAACATCAATTAGCGTTTCTATACACCGCAATAACGAAGACTGTCTGGGGAAAGCTCTCTAATTATAAGCTTTAAAATTTACTTTATATAAAAGCGATAAAAAATATCGTCGATCTACGTTCGTGAGAAAGATCAAAGGGACCGTTCGATAACGAGGACCATGTACAGACAGCGCAATGAGAGTAACAGAGGGTTAATCGCATTGATGCTCATGGAGAAACGAAAAATCTTTAGCTGGCAAAGATTAGAGCGATATCTGTGTGCACGTCACTGCATATCGACCGGGTAAAAGTGAACAGTCCGAGGACTGAACAAGGAACTAAGATGTTCACTTTGGTCCGCTCGGAGGCAAAATCGAAGCGACATAGACGAGAGAGGTAAAAGATGGTTATTGGGAAGCGATCACGTCGAGGCGTCTGCCTGAGAGCGTGAGTACGGTGACCCGAGGGGGAATCGTTAAGCGGAAAGTTACGTGCCGATCGGTAACACTAGAGACGATTTGGAGCGGCCTCTTGTGTACGTACGTATTCGCACACCTATATAAAATTACGTACCAACGGTACGGTTGATGCGCAACGCACCAGGTTGCGCAATGATCGCGCGCGGTTACAGAGCGTGCGTTGCTCTCTATAAGCCATCCCATCTATCGTGGATGATGATGACGTTGCCCGCGACCCCGTGGTTACCGCGTGATGTCGGACACGAAATGACCGATATAATTACAAAGATGGAACTCACGCGTCCTAAATCGCAGTTGAACGTCGCAATCTTCGATATCACAGAGACCGCCGTGCTCGTCGTCCCCCTCAGACACAACTCTCCGTCTCTTTTTTCTTTCCTGATTGTCTTTTAACGATCAAAGTATGGTACCCCGTGCTAACCTCTCTTTTTCTGACAACCATGGCTGTCGATCCCTTCGCTTGTCTATGATTTCTTATACATACCAATCTCGGTTCACTTTCATGTCGACCCGATTAGCCGACCTTCAGGTCCGACGAGAGATGCCCGCCGATCTGTATCACCTGGCTTGCGCAATCACCCCTCATCCTACATCTCTCACCGAGAGGCTCATCTTCGGCCGCCTTCTCCCTCGGTTTTCTTCGATTCCTTGTCCCTCCTAGAACTCTTTCTCCGTCGCTCATTCGTTAACCGAGTTCGCGAACTTCGCCGAGGGACGCGGCACCGGGTGTTCACCAGAGTCGATGCTGTTTCTGAGAGTCTTCCTCCTGGGTGGGAGGAAGACGATCCTCCGGCCACGGATCGGTATATAAGCACGGTTGCTTCGACCTGAATCTGCACAGACCAATTATTGCCATCGTTTGGCGATAGGACGTTCCACTGTGCGACCGGTATCATCGGGGAGGTTCGCTTTTCACACAGATCGAACAGTTCAACGGCGAGATGAGATCGGTACGAATCACAGTACGACTGTTTTTTCCCGCGCTAGGTGGCGTATGTTCGCCGCTTTCGATTGTCCATCTCGATTCTTCGATGGATCGCGATCAGTGCTATCGAACGCGTATCGACGTTTTATTTCGATTAATTCTACGACGTATCCCTCGATATTTTCGTACATTTAAAAAACTCAGTAATAATTCCGTCCTCACATTTTCCTTCGATATCGAATAAAATCGGTGAAATATGACATAGTGTGGTTAGGAAACTTTTTCAGTGAAGCTACGAAAAAATCGTATACTCGATTTCGACACTGTAATAAGTTGGAAAACGTTTACGGTTTTCCAAAAAATCTACTCGAATTGTACTTTTTCGTAAGTCCAAGTACTGACAACTATTTTAACAGCTCGCTGTCGCGTTACTGGCCATTGTGGGTACGTGTTACGCGGCCCGACTAGACAACACTTACCTTCCCCCGGGCAATGCGGGTAGCGCAGGAGGTGCAGGATTGATACAAGCTCCCAATCGTGGTATCGGAGGTCCAGGTGGTCCTGGTGGACCCGGTAGACCAGGTGGTGGACCAGGTGGACCTGGTGGCCCGGGTGGTCCGGGTGGACCAGGAGCGTATGGCGGTGGTGGTGGTGGCCCCTTCGGCGGCGGCGGTGGCGGAGGTGGTTATGGTGGACGTAAGTATAACGTTTTCATTGCATTCTAACCTACAATGTGAAAACCAAAGTGACATAATTATTTACATATTTATTATTTACGTTTAATAAGTTATCCGATAACGAACAATCGAATGTTCGATAGTAATCGCATCTCTTGACTCGGCCTAACCTCTTTTCGCAAATGTTCCGTTCAAAATTTGCCCATTACAATTTTCGTCATTTTTTGTATTCGATGTTTCAAAGATAGTTTTCTACAAAGCGAACAGAATTATTCATTTTCCCATAACGGATTACTATACTTTATGATGTAGGTACTTACCGCGACAAAATTACATCCTATAATACTATAATTATATATGTAGTGTCACGTGCTTGACTTTAATGCCGTCGTGCACGCCGATATTACGTTTAACGAATGCCTCATTGCCTCCTTACAGATGACTTTTCCAGTTCAGTCATCGTCGCGTCTTTTTATTATCTAATCCTAATATCAGGTTTCCGAGTGAAAGGTAATAATAATGATTTCATGCCTTTTGCGAGAAGTGATTGCGACTAATACTGTCATCGAACCTATACCATATGTGGTCTCGCGAAATTAATCGCGATATTCGTGCAATATCCGCAAATGACTATTTTCTCGTATTTTTCGATTCAATTTTCATCTCGACCGAACGAAAAGCTCCGGGCTTTCGGAGCTTCTTATTTTCTTCTTTACCGCATCCTCGGTCTACGTAGGAGTACAACTTTTTTGCACTTGCACGTTACACAACTAAGAGAAAACGTATACTTAACCAGAGTATTCGTTCAGCGTACGCATACTCTGACGTTATATATTGTTTTTTCTCTCGTTAGCTAGAACGATTACTTCTCGTCAGCGCAAACATTTCACACATCGTTAAAATCATTATCGTTGTAAAACTGGCGGATGAAATCTAATAAAAATGAAAGAAAAATGTTAGACGTAACAAATTGCTCAATCGCAGAGGGAATCACCGGGTCGTTTGCTATACTTTGTTTCGGCAAGACGCGCATAGAGAAAATCATTCGGACGATCGCAGCGCTGCGTTGCGTTACACCAGAAAAGAAGAAACACGAAGAAAGGGAGAAATCGCGCGATGAGAGACAGTTGGTCGGTCGAGTTGCATCAAAATATGTAAAGTATGCCGTGAAACCGGGGCCCGTGTCATGGGGACGAAAGAAAAGTGAAAACCGCGGGTATAGCGCGAAACACCTAATCACTTTATCCCTCGAGGCGCTCTTCTAATGAAGACACACCAGCACGGTCCCAAGTAACCGCGCTCTCGAATCTTCGTACGATTCGACGATGGTGAGAATCCGTGCTGGATTGCGAAAATAAGAACATCAGTGCGTCTCGTGTGTGTCTCCTTTTGTACGGCGTCGTCGCGACCGACCAAGTAATTAGGCCCCATTCAGTTACGGATTAATCTCGAATATGTTTGCGGATTTCACCGCGCGTGGCGCAACCGCCCAAAGGATTGCACAGATACGCTGATTGATAAAAAGTCGATTATACGTGACAGAACATAAGATGCGTTCTATCTGAATCGAAGCAAGCTCTGGCTGACTAATTGTATCTATTAGAGGAACATGCGTTCATGCTAGTTTTTTTTTTGACATCTCCGACCGGTCGATCATCAACTTTCTCAGGGATGCTTAAAAGTCAGTCGGAGAGAAAGGGTAACCGAGTCAATCAAAGTCTGTGGTAACTCGAATATTTTTATAGGTAACGAGACATCGCCCGGGTTGATTTATTTATATAATATTCTCAACATTCGTTCGTGTTTATGCTTCAGCTGGTGGCGGCGGCGGAGGTGGACCAAGGGGAGGGCCCGGAGGAGGCCAAGAGATACCTATCGTCTCGTTCAACAATCAGAATGGCGGTGACGGCAACTACCAATTCAGCTACGAAACAGGAAATGGTATCAGTGCGCAAGAAACGGGTCACCAGCAAGGTGAGATCAGGGCCACTCTCGTTTCCCAACAATGATATCCTTCTCGTTTCTTTCTTTCGCGGTTCGTCGCTGCCATTTTTCGCTGTTATGAATATTCCTATCCATCATAGTACGCGGCCTCGGATCCTTCTGTTTACAATGGAACCGTATCGATGGACGCAATAGCACTGCAACTCCTAAAATGTGACTTCCATCCAATTCGCTCCCGACACACTTTAAGTACTTTCTATCGATATATCTCTACTTTACTCGTAAAACAGAGCTTTCTCAAATCGACAGTATCCATACATCTTTTGTGGAAAATATAGACTCTTCGACGTGTAATATGGTATTAAGAAGATTTTCAAGAAATTACACGAAAAAACGACAGGTAATCACGTGTCCTAATTTCGACCAATTGAATTTGCAATATCGGACAACCATCACTACTAACATTAACAAACTGGAAAGCCGCAAAAATAACCAATGTGTGGTGCAATCCAATCCGAGAGCACCTGTTGCGTTAAGTATTCACGTGTTGTCTCGCTTTCCTAGGTAACTCGGAAGCGGTGAGCGGATCATATTCGTACACCGGACCTGATGGTGTACAGTACAGCATCAGTTACACCGCGGACGAAGAAGGTTTCCATCCCCAAGGCGCACATTTACCCACTCCACCTCCGATTCCGCCGGAAATCCAACGAGGAGTAGAGTTAGCACTTGCAGCTGAAGCCAGAGGCGAAAATCAAGATACCTCCGGTGGTGGAGGTGGTGGCGGTAACGGTGGTGGTGGCAGTGGCGGTGGCGGTTATTCACCAGGAGGTGGTTACAGTGAGTTTCAGCGAAGATATCTTACTCGAAGAACGTTTTCGTAGACGGTAGAACTATTTTTCCAGTGAAAAAATTTAAGAAAAGCATAATTCTTGATAACCAGAATGGTTCTATTGATAGAATAATTCTTTTTGATTTTTATTTACCTTAAATTGATGTCTTTTTGTTAGCAGGAGGCGGTGGAGGTAGTGGCGGCGGTGGCGGTCGAGGAGGAGGCGGAGGTGGTGGACCTTATCAGGGTCCAAACTCGTACCAAACAAGCTCGGGCGGATACCATTACTAGACGACAACGCACAAGTCATTACGTATTACACGATCAATCTTGTTCCATTACAGTAATATCATTTAAAGGCGGACGTATGTACATAAGGATATATCGTTTATGTAACTTTTTTATTTATATAAAATATGAGAACCTTAGTTGTGTCATTCTTTCTTTTTTTCCTATTTTATTATTTTAAGTTTCCACTTTCTTGCTGACAACGCTGTTGCTGTTGAATCCGATTTATATAGAGTACGTTAACGTTTGTTTGGTTTTCTATAACTTTTTATTAATGTACATTATTATTGTAAAATAAGTTACATTCAATATTTGTTCAATATATGGAAAGTTCAAATGTACAACTTTGAATACGTCGATTAATTAATGCACGCAGCGAAGTAGCTAATACCTAAATCACAGTAAAGTCATCTTTTAAATTACACAGGCTTACAAAACATACTTTACAAAAAAAGAAATTCAACAAAAATATACATTTGTGTCAACACACAATATTGATACTTTTACACATTATTATTATTAATATAATATTATTATATTATATAATAATATTATTATTATTTACTAATGATAATATTAATAAATAAATTATTTATTATTATTGGAGTACATTCCTGTAGCAATCTGAATGAAAAGTTGCTCCAATGTAGCAGACAAAACTGAATAATCTTCGATACAACTGAACTGGCGTTTCAACTTGTTCATTGTGCTGTACATATTTTCCCAGGTCGTTCCAATATCACGTACATGATACGCGATAAGACCCTACAAATTAGAGAATAGAATAGCATCAATGGAGACTACATAGATATACATCTATAAATTTTTCACATTGGCCCAGAATCCTTACCAAATTCTCATCTCGAATTTCACACGGTAAAGAAGATTCTATAATCCACTTTATAATTCTGACATCATCGGCCTTTCGATTCGGATTTAATTTCACGTAAATATCGTAACCGGCGCCGAATCGTTGCTTTAATTCCGGAATTGCACCGATGCAAACCGACTGACCTTTCACCATAATGACTAGTCTATTGCACAAGGCTTCGTATTCTTCCATGCTATTATGAATATTTTTTTATGCGAACAGGTTAATACAATAATTTTTAGCAACGTACTGTCAACTCGTATGAAGTACCTGTGAGAAGTAAGTATAATAGCTTGTCCCATTGTTTGGCAGGATTGGAGTATATTCCAAAGCGACCTTCTAGCCACAGGATCAACTCCTGTCGTTGGTTCATCCAATAGAATCAGAGTTGGATTTCCAATAAGTGCTATCGCAATGCTCAGACATCGTTTATACCCACCGCTATAAGTACCGCTTGCTCGGTGCATACAGGCATTTAAATCTAATGCAACAAATACATTTATAAATCAACAGAGAACGATTGCTTGAAATAAATGGAAAGAGCAGATGTATCTTACTTAGTCGATTAATCCATTTATTAACTTCTAAATCCACTTTTGATTCTGGAATACCACGAAGCAAAGCAAATAATCGTAAATGATCGAATGCATTCAACGAATTAAGCAATGCATCGGTTTGTGGACAATATCCCATTTGACCAAGATACTACAAAGACGATTTATAATAAATAGTAATATATGATAAAAGTAATACGCATAAACGAATGCAACGAAAATGATAGCTTACATGTATTCTATTAGTCTGAATTTCTAGGTTTCCGAAGTACATCGTACCATTGTTTGGTAATTCTTCACCAGTTAACATTCTAAACATAGTACTCTTGCCGGCGCCGTTAACGCCAAGCAATCCAATGCATTCACCTGACTTTATTTGAAAATTAATTTCTTTCACTGCCATCATATTACCGTAATACTTGCTTAATTCATGAACTAAACACAAATTATCGCTGTTGTTTTCTGGATTTTCTGAGAAATTGTTGTGAATCATGGGAACTGTTCTAGACCTATCCTCGTTTATGTTTCTCGCTGCACCTAAATATTATGTAAGTTTTCAATTAATCTCTCCCGTCAAATTATCTAAAGGAAAAATTTCTATGGTGTTATACCACGATTTTTCAATTTTCTGATTTCTAATGCCACTCTATCTTTCTCTTTCTTCACTTGACCGTCTTCTATGTTGCATGCATACTTTAAATTTTTATTCCGCATTTTAGCATAAAATATTTGCGGTAAACGTTCTTCTAAAATAATAAGTATGGCAAAATATATGAATGGTGTGAGACACAGGAATGTAATGCATTCTTTCAAGCTCATATCACGGTCATTATCAGAAAAGTAAGAAACCTGATTCTTGCATACTCCATCCGCACAGTCCAAATCTAAGGAAGTTCTTGATTATCTTTCACATAATTCAAATAGTGTATTCGTTAAAATATATTACGGATACATTCATACCGCAACACATGTCTGAGAAATTAAGGCAAAATGCATCTAGTAATTGATTTGGTAATCGACGACATCTCATGTTTTGCAGCGCTACGTTGAAGAAAGAAAAAAGTCCCTGAAATAGGCTCACATGAGGTATTAAACCAAGTAGCCTCTTGTGGATCGAATGTAAAACTCTTAGATTATTGAAACTATGAATCAGTTGGTGTAAAATATATTGTAATAAAACTAGAATATAATAAAATGATATTATTTTACTTAATTCATATATTCTTTATGCTTCTAGAATATAACTTACCAAATCCACTTGGTAAAATACTTAATGTAGTTATTATAGTGTTTCTTGATTTATTGACAAAACTAAAAATATATGATATAAACAACGAATTCATGCCAAAGAGCAACAGTAATAATGCCACTATCACTGAAAAAAAAAAAAAAATATAATAAGAATCATTTTCTAAAGTATGCAATAATTTGGAGACTATCTTACATATTTCTATCTTGTAGTATAAGCGTATATCCAGCATAATATCCATGAAGTAAAACCCTAGTATAATAATAAGTATGGATACTGCAAGAACCAAGAAATCGAAAGTAAACATGGTTAACCAATACGAGAAAGACGTAACTCCTGTCATTCTCTGCAACTGCTTTATTTTAGTTTTCGTTTCTTGGAGAGGATGAATAGCAAAAAGTGCCACAGTAGAAAAGAAAAAACAGCAGAAAACAAATACTCTTAACAAAGGTTCATGTTCTGGTATGTATAATGTCATTGTGTATACATCAGTTGGAAATTTTTGACTAGAAATATGGATAGAATATTCTTCTCCCACCATACTTTTAATTAGAGTATTTGACAATAAATTCACAGTTAGCGGAATACTATGAGTTGCAAGTCCAGAATAAAAGCCATTAGCATACAAAACTTCTCCAGATGTATTAAATTCCGCAGAAACAATATAATTATTTCGGTATTCTGCAATATCTCTCACCGCTCGATCCAATAAAGCTTGTGTTACGCTTATATTTTCTTCCGTCGCTTTTGCGAATCCGCCAAAATACTGTATTGAATTCTTATACTCTGTACCTATTGTTTCATTCGTAGACGAATAAAAAGCTTTTGGGTGTCTATACATACTGAGTTCTAATGGAAACACATCTGTTGAGTCATGGGGCATATCACAACTTAAGCCCATGAACACGACTGATAAAAGTGACAAAAACAATGTTAATAATGTGTTCCACAAATTTTTCTTAGTATACATCAGTTTCTTGTGGTACAATGCTAAAATTGACTGTATACACAATCGCCGCCCCTCCACTTTTTGTGACGGAGGAGAGAATAATTCGTTTAAGTGTTTCTCATTATCTTCATTTTTAATCACTTTTAAGAATACTTCTTCCAAAGTGATAAGTGATACGCTAATTCCCGTAATTCCCAAATTGTTTTTTTGGCTATCAACTTTATCTAAAGACAGCGGTAATGTTTCAGTATTAGGTACACTTAAAACGATCTTTTTGCTATCAACACTTATTTGTTGTGTTCTTGGATCAAAATTATTTATAATTTGATCTGCATTGCACCATGACTTTGTTGACAAAGTAACTTCTATGTGACCGTAACCATACTGTCTCTTTAGAAACATTGGTGTGCCATAACATTTTAATCGTCCTTCATGTATAATAGCAATTTGATCTGCGAGTATGTCTGCCTCTTCCATATTATGTGTACTAATTAAAATTGTTTTCTTTCCTCTTATCTTTAGCATAATGTCCCATATAACTCTTCTAGTTTCTGGATCCATACCTGATGTAGGTTCGTCTAGAATTATAGTACTAGCATCGCCGATAAGAGCCATTCCAAGACACAATCTTCTCAATTGTCCTGCAGACAATGTGCTTGGAAGAACATTTCTTTTTTCACTCATCTTTAACTTATTCAGTAAGACATTAACAGTTTCTCGGACGTTTTTTCGCGTTTTATTTTTACCTTTCAACTAAGAAACAATACAGGTTTTCAAGCTTTTTTATGACATTACTGAGAGTAAATGCTGCTTAACTTTAACTAGGTACTTACTAGACCAAAGAATTCTAATTGTTCAAATACACTTAAATCAGGGAATACCATATTTTCTTGAGGGCATAATCCCAAATCATTCCTAATGGATTGTAAATCTTTTGTAATGTTTTTACCATTTATGAGAACTTTTCCTTCAGTTGCACTTGTTACACCTATTTCAAAATAACTATTTTAAAAAATTTAAATATAGTACACTCAGTAACAGAAAAATCAAATTTCTACCTGTCACTATAGACATGAGTGTAGTCTTCCCAGCTCCATTATGCCCTAATAAAGCTGTTATTTGTCCTTTATATAAATCCATTGAAATTCCTTTTAATGCTTGGACTGCCTGCTATAAAATAATTACTATTAATATAATTACTATTATCACATGATATTAGGGACTAGTAGTTTATTACTAGTATTACAAATTAATAACAGTAATTCATCCAATAATTTTAACATGTTAAAAAACTTACAAACTTTCTGAAACAAATACTTTTATATGTTTTCTTAATATTTCGTATTTGAATTCCAGGAGTAAATGCACTTCTTCCAACTAGTTCAAGACTATCATTATTTATATTATCATAGTCAAAGTCTTCTATATCTTCATCGAGGTTTACTTTATTTTTCTTTAAAAACTATAAATTGTCATCAATAATATATACAGATGTAAGTATTTCGAGAATATATTTAGTTTTTTGAATATACTTTACCTTTAAAAAATAAAATGGACTTTTGCGAATTCCATATTTTCCTGGGTGTACAGCATTAATATATACAGTCAGAGAAAAATGTAGTAAAGTACCCAAAATAGAAAAAATAAATATAAATCCATTACATCCAGTAGTGTCATACTGTGTTTCCCCAGCAAAAAATATGTTTGACCATTGAATACCAGTCACTAAAAATTTTACATAATTAATATTCTGAAGATTACAAAGTATTAATGCAAGTACTAAAAACACTTTTACACACATTGAAGTTCATATGCATTTGTTTCTTGGAAGAACCTATATAATAATACATTTGGAAACAATATTCCCAAATATGGTATTACTGAAAAGGCTTCTTCCTTTTCCAAATTTATATGTAGCATAATGGCAACATTATAAATAATTAGCAGTATTGTTATAACAAAACGCGCTAAAAAATTTCATTATATATTACAATTATATTTCATTTCTTTCTATTTGATACATTTTTTTCAAAAAACATACGTTTTGAGAAATATGCAGCAACATGCATTCCAAATGATATTAAATGAGCAACATGAGCTGTAAGTATCAACCAAAATATAAATGTATTACTATAATACAAATAAGGATCAACATTTGGAAAAAAAGCATTCTTAAATAATATTATCATTGGTATTATATAAAAAATACTGAATACAATGCCAGCGATTAACCAACTTAATAAATTTTGATACGGTTTTACTCCATTCATTGCCATTAAAACATTTATACCCATGATCTTTTCTTTTGTTGCATAGTTTGTTTCTACGCAAAGAGGAAATAAAAATGCTATCACAGCAACTATACACATCATGTAGCCTAGTGATATATCAATCCGATATGTATGAACATATGGAGGATAAGGCATTTGTTGTATTGACATCTAAAATAAATGAAACAATATAAAATCATATGAAGTATCAACAGTATCTACTACTTAATAATTTGCAACATATAATACCTTTGTATTCATCATAGAATATGTTGCTTTGTGATTTATAACAGTTTCATCAACACATATTTGTAATTGTACAAATGGTACATTACTTAAATATATATTATGTGAATTCCTTTCAGGATCATAAAAATAGTTTTGGAATAATTTATATGGAATTTTAAAAGTATGTCTGATTTTATACCTTATATCAGTTGTATTATACTGTTCAAATACAAGGCCAATAACCTTAATAGTAGGATATTTCACTTGTAATTTTGTATAAGCATTAATCATATCATCCTCAGATGAAAAACCAATTACCATTTCACGTTGTAGTTTCAAACACATTCTGATATTTTTGAAAATACTTTTTGTATAAGAATTATCTGGTGCATAGTACACAAAGTTAAAATCGCTATTTATTACTGTTAATTCTTCTTTCATTTCTATAGGATAATATGAATTTCTATTAATCACATAAAGTGGTCGCATAAGAAAATCTCTGACATATTGTGTCAATATAAAGAGAATAATAGGTATTAAACATTGTAAAAATATTGTCGTTTTCCAATGCCTTCTTCTAACTAATAAATTTTTATACAAAAGCAAGCTAAGAGTTCTCATTTTATTTGCCATTTTCAAATCTTGTAAATTTTGCACCATATAAACCAAATTTTTCAATCATCAATCTAAGAATCACATATTATTTTAAGAATTTCATAGTTTAATATAGTCAATAACACAGTGTATATGCTGTGTATACTTATGCTGATAAGTTACACAATGCCATTGAAAGTTCATAAAAGCAGGATGAATAAATTATGAGAATTGATGTATGAATCATCATGTGTGGAGAGTTTCCTTTAATTTCCAACTGCAATTTTTTAAATTGCTTTTTTACTTTATATGTTTATGATTGTCAAAATGGTTGTATCTGAAAAAAGATTCTGGATATTACAAAATAATGATATTAGTTTCATTTTAAAGCAATATTATATATATATACAACAATTATATTTGTTATTTACATATATAAGATATATCCAAATAATAACTCTGTATTCATAAATAGCAACATCGCAAAATAAAAATAATTAAACAATATAAAACATATTTTATGAAATTATTAATGCTGCTGTAAATTAGGAAACTTCAATTTTAAATTAAATTAAATAAAACTTTCATAAAATAAAAAAAGGATAATTCAAATGAGATCAATTATTAATGTTAATTATTAACGATATAAATACCTAACACATGTCTTCTTTGAAATTTACAGCAAAAATTTTATAAAAATATTAATATCGCATTATGCACTGTTACATATTATATACATTTTTAAAAACACATAATGTAAGCAAACACAGCAACTGACTTTAGGCTCTTCTAGCTAGATGGTTTATTACTGAATATACACAATTACCATTATTTTCTGAGTCGCGCTGCGATTGCAAATTGAAAACATATAACACGCTTATGTGTCATTCATATACGTCACACAGCTAAGTTAGAATTCCCTAATGCCTCCATTAGATAATAGCTTAAAATAATATTATCTTTCAAGAAATAAAATAAGGAATAAGTAACTAACTTTGTCCGATATTCGTAGTAACTTTCGGTAAGAGTATAAGAAAGAGAAACCAGTCTTAAGGATAAGACATGCTGTCGTCAAATTATGACGTACGTGATAGCGTTATACACAGTGAACCGTGTTACTGCTATCGGGAAATCAAAGCAGATGCATCTGGCTATTAGCCAATAAATTATTGAACGCGAAATACTTGAACGTCGATTCATAAAAGACGTAAATACGTTCGAATTTTTTAATTTAAATAAAAATTTTTATTTACTATTTAAAATGCGATATATATTTTCTTAGTAAGATTAATGAAACAACAAGCTAACCGTTATTGAAGTTCATTTCTATCTGAATAATATATATGGCAATATACACTTGTAACGAACAATTGTTTTCGTATGTGAACATATGAAATTCGGGCTGATACAGTAAAATATTCCGTGTAATGAAAACAAATTTATGTCTTTAAATAACAATACAAAACTGTCACACGTTTTTTAAACCTAATAGGAATATTCTTCCTGGAAATATTAACATATTTTCAATTGCATTCCTTTCATTAAGAAATTAATTATTTGTTCTGCAATTTGCATTTTTTCTTTCTGTTTTTTCTTCTTTTGTTTAATAGACAATGCCATGGATTGCTGTTATTCCAGCAGAGATGGAAGTCCCACAACTGAGAAAGAACCTTCGAACGTCTCTAGTCCAGAGATGTTTGATAATGATGAAGAAGATGATAAAAAATATAATGAACCACTAGCACATGAAGTACCAATAGTAGTTAGTCCTAAGAAACCTTCTCAAGCTGACTTAGTTGCAATATTTGATAATAATTAAACTTACAATTTGTAGAACAGATTGTTCAGAATTTCTATTATGTATTTCAGAATCAACAAATTATCAATAAAGGACACACCATTTATATACAGTATGCTAACGTTTGTTTGGTTTTTTATAACTTTTTATTAGTGTACATTATTATTGTAATACAAGTTACATTCAATATTTGTCCAATATATGAAAAATTTAAATGCACAACTTTGAATAAATTGATTAATTAATGCACGCTGTAATGTAGCTACCATCTAAATCACAGTAACATCATCCTTTAAATTACACAGGCATACTTTACAAAAAAAAAAAAATTCAGCAAAAATATTTACTTGTGTCAAAATATCACGCGACATTAATACTTTTATACGTTTATATTATTTATTATTATTCGAATATGTTCCTCTAGCAAACTGAATGAAAAGTTGCTCCAATGTCGCAGACAAAACTGAATAATCTTCGATACAACTGAATTGGCCTTTCAAATTGTTCATTGTGCTGTACATACTTTCCCAGGTCGTTCCAATATCACGCACGTGATATGCGATAAGACCCTACAAATTAAAGAATAAAATAGCATCAATGGAAACTATATAAATATACATTTATAAATGTTTTACACTGGTCCAGAATTATTACCAAATTCTCATCCCGAATTTCACATGGTAAAGAAGATTCTATAATCCTCTTTATATTGCTGACATCATTGTCCGTTCGATTCGGATTTAATTTAATGTGAATATCATAACCAGCGCCGAATCGTTGTTTCAATTCCTGACTTGCACCGATACAAACCAATTGACCTTTCACCATAATGACTAATCTATTGCACAAAGCTTCGCATTCTTCCATGCTGTTATGAATTTTTTTATGCAGTCAGATTAGTACAATAACTTTTAGTAACGTATTGTCAACTCAAATGAAGTACCTGTGAGAAGTAAGTATAATAGCTTGTCCCATTGTTTGGCAGGATTGGAGTATATTCCAAAGCGACCTTCTAGCCGCAGGATCAACTCCTGTCGTTGGTTCATCTAATAGAATCAGAGTTGGATTTCCAATAAGGGCCATCGCAATGTTCAACCGTCGTTTATTCCCACCGCTATAAGTACCGCTTGCTTGATGCATACAGGCATTTAAATCTAATGCAACAAATACATTTATAAATCTACAAAAAACGATTGTTTGAAATAAGTTAAAAGAATAGATGTAGCTTACTCAGTCGATTAATCCATTTATTAACTTCTAAATCCACCTTCGATTTCGGAATACCACGAAGTAAAGCAAATAATCGTAAATGATCGAATGCATTCAACGAATTAAGCAATGCATCGGTTTGTGGACAATATCCCATTTGAGCAAGATACTACAAAGACGATTTATAATAAATAGTAATATATGATAGAAGTAATACGCATAAACGAATGTAACGGAAATGATAGCTTACATCTTTTCTCTTAGTATGAATTTCTAGGTTCCCTAAGTACATTGTACCACTGCTTGGTAATTCTTCACCAGTTAACATTCTAAACGTAGTACTCTTGCCGGCGCCATTAACACCAAGCAATCCAAAGCATTCACCTCGTTTTACTCGAAAATTAATTTTCTTCACTGCCAACAAATTACCATAATATTTGCTTAATTCATAAACTAAATACAGACTATCGTTGTTGTTTTCTGGACTTTCTAAAAAATTGTTGTCAATGATAGGAACTGTTTTAGTCCTCTCCTCGTTTATGTTTTTTCCTGCACCTAAATATTATGTATGTTTTCAATTAATCTCTCCTTCCAAATTATTTAAAAGAAAAATGTCTATAGTACTATACCACGATTTTGCAATTTTCTAATTTCTAATGCAACTATATGCTTCTCTTTCTTCACTTGATCATCTTCTATGTTGCATGTGTCTTTTAAATTTTGATTCAGCATTTTAGCATAATATATTTGTGGTAAACGTTCTTCCAAAATAATAAGTATGGCAAAATAAATCAATGGTGTAAGACACAGGAATATAATGCATTCTTTCAAGCTCATGTCACTATCATCATCAGAAAAGTAAGAAAGCTGATTCTTGCATACTCCATCCGCACAATTCAAATCTAAGAAAGTTCTTAATTATCTTTCACATAATTAAAATAGTGCATTCGTTAAAATATATTGCGGAAACATTCATACCGCAACAAATATCCGAGAAACCAAGGCAAACTGCATCTTGTAATTGATTTGGTAATTGACGACATCTCGCGTTTTGCAGCGCTACGTTGAAGAAAGCTAATTGACCATGAAATAGACTCACATGAGGTATTAGACGAAATAGCCTCTTTTGGATTGAATGTAGAACTCTTAGATTATTGAAACTATGAATCAGTTGGTGTAAAAGATATTGTAATAAAACTAGAATATAATAAAATTATATTATTTTACTTAATTTATATCTTTTTTATACTACGATAATATAACTTACTTATTCCAGTTGGTAAAATACTTAATATAGTTATTATAGTATTTCTTGATTTATTGACAAAACTAAAAATATATGATATAAACAACGAATTCATGCCAAAGAGCAACAGTAATAATGCCATTATCACTGAAAAAAAAAAAAAAATATAATAAGAATCATTTTCTAATGTATGCAATGATTTTGAGTACTATCTTACGTATTTCTATCTTGTAGTATAAGCGTATATCCAAAATAATATCCATGAAGTAAAATCCTAGTATAATAATAAGTATGCATACTGCAAGAACTAAGAAATCGAAAATAAACATGGTTAGCCAATATGAGAAAGAGGTAACTCCTGTCATTCTCTGCAATTGTTTTATTTTAGTTTTCGTTTCTTGGAGAGGATGAATAGCAAAAAGTGCCACAGTAGAAAAGAAAAAACAGCAGAAGATTAATACTCTTAACAAAGACTCAGTTTCTGGTATGTATAATGTCGTTGTGAATAAAGCAGTTGGAAATTTTTGACTAGAAATATGGATAGAATATTCTTCTCCCACCATATTTTTAATTAGTGTATTTGACAATAAATTCACAGTTAGCGGAATACTATGAATTGCAATTCCAGAATAAAAGCCATTAGCATACAAAACTTCTCCAGATGTATTAAATTCCGCAGAAACAATATAATTATTTCGGTATTCTGCAATATCTCTCACCGCTCGATCCAATAAAGCTTGTGTTACGCTTATATTTTCTTCCGTCGCTTTTGCGAATCCGCCAAAATACTGTATTGAATTCTTATACTCTGTACCTATTGTTTCATTCGTAGACGAATACAAAGCTTTTGGGTGTCTATACATACTGAGGTCTAATGGAAACACATCTGTTGAGTCGCGGGGTGTATCATAACTTAAGCTCATTAACACGAACGATAAAAGTGACAAAAACAATGTTATTAAGGTGTTCCACAAATTTTTCTTAGTATAAATCAGTTTCTTGTGATACAATGCTAAAATTGACTGTATACACAACCTCCACCCATCCACTTTTTGTGACGGAGGAGAGAATAATTCGTTTAAGTGTTTCTCATTATCTTCATTTTTAATCACTTTTAAGAATACTTCTTCCAAAGTGATAAGTGATACGCTAATTCCCGTAATTCCCAAATTGTTTTTTTGGCTATCGACTTTATCTAAAGACAGCGGTAATGTTTCAGTATTAGGTACACTTAAAACGATCTTCTTGCTATCAACACTTATTTGTTGTGTTCTTGGATCAAAATTATTTATAATTTGATCTGCATTGCACCATGACTTTGTTGACAAAGTAACTTCTATGTGATCGTAACCATACTGCTTTTTCAGAAACATTGGCGAGCCATAACATTTTAATCGTCCTCCATGTATAATAGCAATTTGATCTCCAAGTATGTCTGCCTCTTCCATATTATGTGTACTAATTAAAATTGTTTTCTTTCCTCTTATCTTTAATATAATGTCCCATATATCTCTTCTAGTTTCTGGATCCATACCTGATGTAGGTTCGTCTAGAATTATAGTACTAGCATCGCCGATAAGAGCCATTCCAAGACACAATCTTCTCAATTGTCCTCCAGACAATGTGCTTGGAAGAACATTTCTTTTTTCACTTAGCTTTAACTTATTCAGTAAGACATTCACAGCTTCTCGGACGTTTTTTCGCATTTTATTTTTACCTTTCAACTAAGAAACAATACAGGTTTTCAAGCTTTTTTATGACATTACTGAGAGTAAATGCTGCTTAACTTTAACTAAGTACTTACTAGACCAAAGAATTCTAATTGTTCAAATACACTTAAATCAGGGAATACCATATTTTCTTGAGGGCATAATCCCAAATCATTCCTAATGGATTGTAAATCTTTTGTAATGTTTTTACCATTTATGAGAACTTTTCCTTCAGTTGCACTTGTTACACCTATTTCAAAATAACTATTTTAAAAAATTTAAATATAGTACACTCAGTAACAGAAAAATCAAATTTCTACCTGTCACTATAGACATGAGTGTAGTCTTCCCAGCTCCATTATGCCCTAATAAAGCTGTTATTTGTCCTTTATATAAATCCATTGAAATTCCTTTTAATGCTTGGACTGCCTGCTATAAAATAATTACTATTAATATAATTACTATTACCACATGATATTAGGGACTAGTAGTTTATTACTAGTATTACAAATTAATAACAGTAATTCATCCAATAATTTTAACATGTTAAAAAACTTACGGATTTTCGGAAACAAATACTTTTATATGTTTTCTTAATATTACGTATTTGAATTCCAGGAGTAAATGCACCTCTTGCAACTAGTTCAAAATTATCGTTACCCACATTATCATATTCAAAGTTTTCTATATCTTCATCGAGGCTTACTTTATTTTTCTTTAAATACTATAAATTGTCATCATTAATATATTCAATAATAGATATTTCGAGAATATATTTAATTTTTTTAATATACTTTACCTTCAAAAAATAAAATGGACTTTGGCGAATTCCATATTTTCCTGGGTGTACAGCATTAATATATACAGTCAGAGAAAAATGTAGTAAAGTACCCAAAATAGAAAAAATAAATATAAATCCATTACATCCAGTAGTGTCATACTGTGTTTCCCCAGCAAAAAATATGTTTGACCATTGAATACCAGTCACTAAAAATTTTACATAATTAATATTCTGAAGATTACAAAGTATTAATGCAAGTACTAAAAACACTTTTACATACATTGAACTTCATATGCATTTATTTCTTGAAAGAATCTATATAATAATATATTTGGAAACAATATGCCCAAATATGGTATTACTGAAAAAACTTCTTCCCTTTCCAAATTCGTACGTAGCATAAGGGCAACATTATAAACAATTAACAGTATTGTTATAACAAAACGCGCTAAAAAAATTCGTTATATATTACAATTATATTTCATTTCTTTCTATTTGATACATTTTTTCTTCAAAAAAACATACGTTTTGAGAAATATGCAGCAACATGCATTCCAAATGATATTAAATGAGCAACATGAGCTGTAAGTATCAACCAAAATATATATGTATTACTATAATACAAGTAAGGATCAACATTTGCAGAAAAAGTATTCTTAAACAATATTATCATTGGTATTATATAAAAAATACTGAATACAGTGCCAGTGATTAACCAACTTAATAAATTTTGATACTGTTTGACTCCATTCATTGCCATTAAAACATTTATACCAATGTACTTTTCTTTTGTTGCATAGTTCGTTTCTACACAGAGTGGAAATAGAAATGCTATCACAGCAAATGTACATATCACCAGTCTTAATAACGTATCAAAGTCATCTGTTTTAACATATGGAGGATAAGGCATTTGTTGTATTGACACCTAAAATAAGTGAAGCAAATAAAATCATATGAAGCATCAACTATATTTATTACTTAATTATTTGCAACATCTAATACCTTTGTATTCATCATAGAATTTGATGCTTTGTGATTTATAAAAGTTTCATCAACACACATTTGTAATTGTACAAATGGTACTTTACTTAAATATATGGCATGTGAATTCCATCCAAGTTCATTAAATATGTTTTGGAATAATACATTAGGAATTTTAAAAGTATGTCTGATTTTATACCTTATATCAGTTGTATTATATTGTTCAAATACAAGGCCAATAACCTCAATATTAGGAGATTTAACTTGTAATTCTGTATAAGCTTTAATCATATTATCCTCAGATGAAAAACCAACTACATTTTCACGTGGTAGTTTTAAACACATTCTAATTTTTTCGAAAATACTTTTTGTAAATGAATTCTGTGGTTCATAGTACAAAAAGTTTAAATCTCTATTTATTACTATTAATTCTTCTTTCATTTCTATAGGATAATATGTATTTTCATTAATCACACGAGATGGTTGCACACTAAAATCTCTCACAAATTGTATCAATATAAAGAGGATAATAGGTATTAAACATTGTAAAAATATTGTCGTTTTCCAATGCCTTCTTCTAATTATTAAATTTTTATACAAAAGCAAGCTAAGAGTTCTCAGTTTAATTGCCATTTTCAAATCTTAAAAATTTTATACCATATAAACCAAATTTTTCAATCATCAATCTAAGAATCACATATTATTTTAAGAATTTCATAGTTTAATATAGTCAATAACACAGTGTATATGCTGTGTATACTTATGCTGATAAGTTACACAATGCCATTGAAAGTTCATAAAAGCAGGATGAATAAATTATGAGAATTGATGTATGAATCATCATGTGTGGAGAGTTTCCTTTAATTTCCAACTGCAATTTTTTAAATTGCTTTTTTACTTTATATGTTTATGATTGTCAAAATGGTTGTATCTGAAAAAAGATTCTGGATATTACAAAATAATGATATTAGTTTCATTTTAAAGCAATACTATATATATATACAACACTTATATTTGTTATTTACATATATAAGATATATCCAAATAATAACTCTGTATTCATAAATAGCATCATCTCAAAATAAAAATAATTAAACAATATAAAACATATTTTATGAAATTATTAATGCTACTGTAAATTAGGAAACTTCAATTTTAAATTAAATTAAATAAAACTTTCATAAAATAAAAAAAGGATAATTCAAATGAGATCAATTATTAATGTTAATTATTAACGATATAAATACCTAACACATGTCTTCTTTGAAATTTACAGCAAAAATTTTATAAAAATATTAATATCGCATTATGCACTGTTACATATTATATACATTTTTAAAAACACATAATGTAAGCGAACACAGCAACTGACTTTAGACACTTCTAGCTAGACGGTTTATCACTGAATATACACAATTACCATTATTTTCTGAGTCGCACTGCGATTGCAAATTGATAACACATAAACACGCTTATGTGTCATTCATATACGTTATTACAGCTAAGTTAGAATTGTCCGTAATGCCTCCACTAGATCATAGATTAAGATTATATTATCTTCCAAGATTAAAAATAACGAATAAGTAATTGACTTTGTCCGATATTCGTAGTAACTTTCGGTAAGAATATGAGAAAGAAAAAGCAGCCTTAAGGATAAGACATGCTGTCGTCAAATTATGACGTACGTGATAGCGTTATACATAGTGAACCGTGTTACTGGTATCGGGAAATCAAAACAGATGCATCTGGCTGTTAGCCAATAAATTATTGAGCGAGAAATAATTGAACGTCGATTCACAAAAGACGTAAGTACGTTCGAATTTTTTAATTTAAATAAAAATTTTTATGTACTATTTAAAATGCGATATATATTTTCTTAGTAAGATTAATGAAGCAACAAGCTAACCGTTATTGAAGTTCGTTTCTATCTGAATAATATATAATATGACAAGATGAGACTCGATATAAATAATTTGAATGATTACAAAGTATTTTTGTTGTAATTTTGATAATTAACATATAATTTTCTGTAAGGTTAGATAACGCATATATACACTTGTAACGAACAATTGTTTTCGTATGTGAACATATGAAATTCGGGCTGATACAGTAAAATATTCCGTGTAATGAAAACAAATTTATGTCTTTAAATAACAATACAAAACTGTCACACGTTTTTTAAACCTAATAGGAATATTCTTCCTGGAAATATTAACATATTTTCAATTGCATTCCTTTCATTAAGAAATTAATTATTTGTTCTGCAATTTGCATTTTTTCTTTCTGTTTTTTCTTCTTTTGTTTAATAGACAATGCCATGGATTGCTGTTATTCCAGCAGAGATGGAAGTCCCACAACTGAGAAAGAACCTTCGAACGTCTCTAGTCCAGAGATGTTTGATAGTGATGAAGAAGATGATAAAAAATATAATGAACCACTAGCACATGAAGTACCAATAGTAGTTAGTCCTAAGAAACCTTCTCAAGCTGACTTAGTTGCAAAATCTGATAACAATTTACTAGCCAAAATTAACAAACTCCTAAGTGGTGTACCACCACCACCTAAACTTACAATTTGTAGAACAGATTGTTCAGAATTACTGTTACGTATTTATGAGAATCAACATCTATTTTGGACATCATGTGTATTATCAAAAAAAGACACACAACAAGATGTAAATAGCTTATCCCCAGAACAACAGAAAGAAAATATTAGTACAAATAATTATCAACGTACCAAAAGCACATCTAGAAATTTAAGTAATGCTTTTGATGCTTGTGATCCACAATATCAAAGTAATATTAGTAGTAATAAAAATACAGTAGATTTAAATAACACTTGCAGTGATAATTTTAGAGTAAAGAAAGTAGTTCCTAACAATGAAAAAGGCGTAGTCAATGCTAATGCAAGTGAAACAAAATTGTTAAACCCTGAGCTGGTACAAGTAACTGCAATTGAGAACAAATTAAAACAAGAATCTTTTATTGCTGCACCAAAACAATCATTACTTTATTATACTGTTAATGAGAAAAAAGCTGCCAGTTTGACATGGTCCGAAGCATATCATCACAAATTTCATGGAATACAGTGAGTACATTAATGTACCTTTTGCAGATAATAATATCTATGAAAAGGTATTTAATTGTGCCTTATATTATTTTAGTTATAACAGAAATAAAGCAATTGAAGAATTTGAAAGCCTTACATCAAAGTTATGCGAGAGATATATAGGTGCTGAAACTCAGTCTACGTGTACTGTATGGTTTTCTAAACCAGCGCCAGGAAGTGCCAAAAAACGAAATCTTTTAGCTAAACGTAATAATGGCCAAAGTCCGGGAAAGAGATTAAGTCATTTAACAAGAAGACGAAAAATATTCTCTAGCGCAAATTTACAAGGATTAGCACTCAACAATAAAAAACTTTTAGTATTAAATATTAAGTATGCATTGAATTTGAAATATCACATTTTAAAAATATTTTATTTATTAAAATATAACATATTTGTTTTGATATAGGAAACCCACAGTTAAAAAGGGTAAAAGCCCACGAGGTAAAAGCCCACGAGGTAAAAGTCCTCGAGGTAAAAGCCCGAGGAGAACTCCTAGGAGTTCAACAAAGAAAAAGGTGGCTCGTCGACTCATTTTAGATGGACCCAGTCCATTAAAATCCAAGATTGAAACACCTAAACGCGCGCTCTTTCAAAGTCCACCGCCTGACCGAGCTGGTCCGAGCAAGTTGCTTACAAGTCGATCGAATCCGCAAAGTATTAAACGCGCGTTATTTACACAAAATATTAAGGAGAACAATTCTGAAGGAAGTCAGAAGATAGCTATTGAAGAATCAAAAAAGAGGAAAAGTGAAGAAGAATTGGAAGGTCCAAGGTGTAAATGGGCAAAAAGTTTATCCTTTGACTGCTCTCATGAATTGCATAACAATACAATGTCTTCTTGGGATAGGCACTCATCTAGTAATATAATTGAAAAAAACAAACCATCTTTGAATGAAGGAAGATGTGAGCTTAGTGACACTCATAGAAAGGTATTTTTTTTTTCAAGCATTTTAAAGTAGAATTATTTGTTATCGTAAGGTAATAAAAATACGTATGTTTAGAAATTACTATGGGCGGTAGCGGAGGCTTTACGAGATAAAGGAATAGGTATGACTCATCCACAATTCAAGCAGTATGCTACAAACTTGGCGCGAACTATAAAAAAACTTATGCCTGATCTCGAGAATAAGAATATTCCTCGTAAACCAGGAAGTACAAGTGATCGTATGTTAAAATTAGCAAAATATCATGTTTTGTTTGTAATCGACGCGAGACCAACTGATTGACAATACTCATTTATATAATAAAAAAAAAACGAAAAACAATTGACATAACTTTGCGCGAAGTACATTATTTATCATAGAAATATCAGTGATCAGATATTTATACGTCGAGGTAGCACATGTATGAACAGTGAATTTTATTTATCTGAATATAGTGAGATATTGTATTGAAATGTATTATAACAAATTGGATAAAACATTAATGCGTGATGTGTGAATGTTAGAACTGTTTATGGAATATTAAGATATTTTTTACTACATAAACATAAACTGAGAGGTTTTTAATATGCCTATTTTTTATTAGCGATAAAATAGTATATATATATATATATTTCACAACTTATAAATAATTAATAAAAGGTGCTTCTCTGAAACAAAACATAATCTGCAATTAATAATTTTAGAAACAACGCATGTGTACATATATATCAATCATACCTAACATATGGTTGTATCTAAAACGTTTAAGGGGCGAGTAAAAAAATAAAGACTAATCGCATTGCGTTCGCGATGCTTGTTTAATCTTCTGCTATTTATTCCGCATTTTGGTGACCCACCCTGGCAATTACTTCATCCAATATTTGCGTTAATTCCTTATTTTCTTTTGTCTTCTGTTCGACCAATTCGGCCAATGAATTACTTTTCAGCTCTGCTTTCCTTACCATTGCATGAAGTTTTACTGTTTCATCCTCATGCTGTTTTCGTATAGCATCCAATTCAAAGTTAGCTCTGAAATATTTTACAGATATATATATATATATATATAATTCTTTTTCTTCCTTTTATATTAAAGTATTTTAACTTTTTTAGATACTTACTTTTCGAGCTCGGCCATAGCATGATTCTTCAATTGATCGTACCGCGTTTCCAAACCTTTTATTGTTTCCATGTTCTCTTGAATGCTCTCTTTCAATACTGTTTCATTACTTTTATACGCGGACATGACTCCTTTAAGTCTCTCGTACTTTTGATGAACGTCATTAAAAGCAGCCTCCGTGTTGCTTAAATGAACATTTGTGACTTGTAATTCTTCTTGCAGTTTTGCTTTTTCTTGTTCAAAATTTGTACGATCTCTCTCTCTTTCCGTGAGCAGTCGGCTAATCGATTTTTCATACTCTTCGACTACGACCCTAAAAATAATATCCTTATTACTTTCATCACACAAAAATAAAAGACAATATTACACAGATAGAAAATAACTTACGTCATCTGAGATTTACTTTTTACCTCCTGCGCTATTTGTGCTTGTAATTTATTAATTTTTTCTTGAAAAGCATTCTTTTGCTTCTCTAATTCACTTTCATACTCCTTCTTTTGTTTCTCTAGTTCTTCTTCTAATTGTAGTACAGTTGCCCTTACTAATTCTAATTCCTTACTCATATTAATATCGGTAATAAGCGGAGTGTCTGATTTCGATTCTTCTGCAGGCTGTTCCTACATAATATAAATATAAATATATATAATTCATCTCACAACGTTAGGAGATACATAAAATATATTGGAAACTATAACGTACTTTGCTAGCCATTTTCTCTTGAAGTTCATTTGTCTTCTGCGTCATATTTGTAGAAATCGGACTATAAAAAAGTAGCCTATCTATAGCAGCTATGGCAGGATTATGTTTAGGAGTATCGATATTCACTGGTACGTTTTCACTTTTGCCGTTTTGTTCCTCGTTTATGGACTGCGTATTTCCCTGAGGTAACATGCTGGTGTCTGCTACTAATGGATCAAATTTTACATACAAAGACTCGGTCCTCAAACGATTGACAGTTTTCGAATTGCCGTGATTTATCAAAAAATCGAAGCTCGTAGGATCTTGGAAGACTGCGATATAAAATCACTATTAATAAAACACCCATCGAAATTTAAAAAATTTCACACTAAAAACACTCACTTTCAGATGTTGCGCTGGTGAAATTATCGTTTTCTTCTGAGAAATCCAATGAATATTTAAAAATATCATTGGCAACCTGTTCAGCAGCAGATTGCAGTTCTTCGAAATTTGGTTGTTCGATATTCAATGTAGCTAGCGTAGTGCTTTGTCGTTGCGGCTTAAACTCTGTATAGTGTTCCACTTCTGGTATAGCCTCGGAAGTCAAGAAAACATCTTCAATGGTAATAGTAGTGTCTAATTTATCTTCAGAGAACTGATCCCCTTCTTTCTCGTCTTCTTCCTCCTTTATCGAACCTACTGTATCTGTCTTTTCCAAAACAACCACATCCTTTTCACCAAGAGATTCATCTGGCTTTCTAGTTTCTATTTCTTCCTTCTTAGGAGTAGTATCGTTTAGCTCGAAGCTTTCTTCCTTTGGCAAAGATTGTTCAATGTTACTAACAATGATATCACAACTCTCAACCTCTTGACAAACGTTTATGATAGCGGAATTCTCTTGAATTTCCGGCGTTTGTGGTCTTACAGAAAAAGTATCATCTAAAGGAATCTGCCGATCGCTTGAAACGTTATCAGGAAAGTTTGGTGGAACCGATTCTGTTATACTATTGCTTTTATCTTGTACTTCTCGTGCAGGACTTTTCTCTACAATATCCGGAGACGAGATTACCGCTGCGTTAGAATCATTTACAGGGGACGAGGACCTTGGCGAATTTTTCACAATGCCTTCATTCTCTTGAGTGTTATTATTGCTTTCGTTTAATTTTGAGGAATCTGTACTGTTGAGTAAAGAAGAAAACGTCGGTATACTAGGCAACGACAATTCTTCTGCATTCTCTGTGGACGCAGATGTTGAGTTACATACAGAATTCGCGACGGTACAAGGTATAAAATTCAGAGATAAAGAATGAATTTCGCGCGAACTATTTTCTGACTCGCTAGATTGTACCTCTTTAGAAACATCTGTGATTTCTTTGCTAGGTGATAGACACACCGTTGTATTTAAGTTAAACTCTGTGCTACGAGACTGTGGCAGAGAGACCTCGTCAACTTTATTCACAAAGCTGTTATTCGTTTGATGATCACTGTTATTTAAGTCATTATTTCTTTTAGGAGAAATCGACCTCTTCTCTATTGTTTCCTCTAACTTTATGAAACTATGCCTTCTGTTCGCTACGGGGGAAGGTTCCCTGATGCAGATGCTGCCTAGAATAGGTCGTTCCTGGCTATTGTTCTGCGTACAATTAATCGGCGAGCATGTAGAATCGCGTGTCGTCGAATTACTCTCAAAGTTTTCAACCGTACTTTGGCAGTCCGTCAGAGAGACGTCGGAAACGAGACTCTTGGTGAGATTGGTTAGATCATCGGTGGCAGATGCGAACGTTTGATCTTGGCTAAAGTCTTGAGAATTTTGTAGAGTGTTGTACGACTGTTCGTCGTCGCTATTCAAGTGTATACCCGCGCAACCGGCAATCAGGTCTTCCAAGCCAGATATATTCGGGTCCACGTACGAATCGTTCAAGACCTGATTAGGGCTTTGGGGTATGAAGTCTGAGCAGATACCGCTGCTGCTCTTTGTGCTTAAAGTACTGTTGAGACTCTGGAAACTGCTGGCCGAGGACAGACTTTCTGCAGCCGAGTAGGTGATCGATCCAACGTCGGCGAACTCGCGAGCGAATCGAACCTTCACCTCATGCTCCGCACTTTTCGATGCAGAATTGTCGGTGCCGCTCTAAAAAACAGAAAGGGTAGATATCGTTAATCGAAAACGTCGTTACACCAGCTGCAATCTATTTCCATCTTCGATTTCGAATCGAATAAAATAATTCCACGATCAATGGCAAATTATCGAAATACCGAAAACGCGGTATCGTTAAAAATATCCGAACACCAATCACGAAAGCTTGCAAAACATGTGCACGAGCATGGATGAATCTCGATAACGATGCCGCAACCTCCCGAACCAACCCTGAACTCGATCTCCCTCAGGCCTTACATGCGCGTTAATTAACGCGAAATATTCAGCCGAAGTTTAACGCTCGAATGAGCCGAAAGAAACTACATCTGCTCCTGCCAATTCACGGACACGAGAGGCGTGCGTTTAATCGGGAGCTTTCCATTCGAATTTAGACGCAAAATACCGGTGGCGTGGGCGATGGCGATGGCGACAGCGATGTCCTTGCCGGGATCGCGGCAGCTCTGTGCAGCAGTTTATTGATATACTCCATTTTCTCGCGGATAAACGTAGATAAAGATGCGTGTACAGTGGACAGTCGTCGTTCACTGAGAAAATCCGCGTCAGCTGATCGGGTTGGGGCTCGCGAATTTCTTTCAGAAATTGCGCAACTTCTTCGCCGCTCGGACTAATTATAAAATATACCAGCAGCACGGGGAGCGGGAGATGGGATTTTGTTTTGCTGGATCTCGCGCCAGTCTCGCTCGCGAATCCATGCCAAGAACAGTTATGAGTGGTTTGCTCACGACAAAAAGGTATAGACCGTTTGTCTATGCTGCGATCGCGTTTCGCGATGGGAACAGGCTGTTCGACCGTCTACACGATACCGATAATAGGCTAAACTTTGAGAGTGATGACCTTCCGTGTGAAGTTTCTTGCGACTAGAACGCTTCGAGTACCGTTCGACTAGAAATCCCTCGACGAAGATAATTAAAAGAAAGACTTTATATTCGCGATGTCAAGGGGAATATGTGAAATAGGACTGGCTGTCTGTCTTATAACCCTCGAGTCTGAGGATCCTCGGCTTCTCACAGTGTGTATATCAGTTCGTATTCGTGATGGCGAATGAAGAATTAACGAGATGAATATACGACCGTCGAATAACGCGTTTTAATTCGCTGGAAAGGCAGAGGTGAAGAATTAGTGGAAAATTTGTTAAAAATTTGAAAGGATGCGACCTGGATCTCGTTTCCGAGACCGTGCGATTTACAATACGAGATCTGTGCGATTCCTCAAGGGATTGCCGAGATCAGAGACGTAGGTGTTTCGCGAAGGTTACCTTGTAGATGAAATTCCCCATGACTTCCCGTAGGACCTCCACTTTCGGCTGTCACTGCTGGCCGATATGAGACCATATTTACACACGGGTTCACAGAACCCCACGTAGTGAACTTCTTTACTTTCTCCCCGCCTATATATCCTCACCCCTGACACGTTTATTTCCGACGACACGGCGCATCTTTCGTTTATCATTCACCCTTTTCGCGGTCTCGTGTATTTTTTTTTCCCCGTCTCTCGTCTACACGCGCTTCCTTTTCGTCCGGGCCGTCTTTCGTCGAGAGAGGGAGAGAGAGAGGAAAGAAAACTGGTGGAACGACTTATTTTCACCTGTTTATAGCTTCGTGCGTTTGATCGGGACGCGTGTACGACCGTTCGGCTAAAAAATTCGTACTAGATATCATCGACTCGGATATATCGAACGTACGATTCGCCGATTGTCAAGAGTTCGCCGATTCAACGGTATCTTAACATTCCACCAACATTCGGTCCAATTATCTACGTAGAAAAATCTCACTCTCTCTTCAGACTAACTTGATTTCTCTTTCTCGCTTCGTTCTCTTTTTTTCTTCTTCTTTCTTTTTATTTTTGTTTTAATCGAATCGTCCACGGCCTTATCTCGAAAATTTCACTACGAGGTCTCATCCATGAAACTGAAGCGGGAGAAAACTGAAACGAAGAGGATAGATAAAACGATAATATTCTTGGTGTAATCCCACTACCAATTACGAATCGTACGAATTCTGCATTTAATTAAGACGCCAGAGTATCGCGGCTCGTTTCTAATCCGATTAAACGTACAAAAACAGATCTCGCTGGTACCAGACTAACATTTCACGTGAAACAAATGCGTTTAGAAAGTAGAATACACAAACTGATTCAACACGCTAAACTAAACATCGTGTACCTATCGCTCATGTACGCGTGTTCCTTCACGGAGTAAGACATTAATTCCATGAATATTAATGTCGCCTTTTTTTACCTGCTTGTGTTGCTCCTGTTGTAATTATGTCATTATTTATACCGCCTATGAATCACGTTTTCACCGATACGCCATTATCTAATTGCGTACGCTATGACAAACAACGCGAATCGCGATAGAATGGTCGTAAATATTTGGAATAATTCATCGAGCGTTCGGCCATCTATAATTTATGTAGTTAATGGCGGGCGGCTGGGGTAGAGATAACGAGCGATTAGAAGTAAGAACAGGCGTCGCGATGTTCTCTTCTATGTTAATTAAAAGAGAAACTTCGTTTCCAGTAGACTAGTCTCGTTCACGCTTCGATTCGATGGAAAAAAGATACGTATAATACTGTGCGAAATTGGGGGATGATGTACCACGTGATAGCCATGAACGACGGGTAATATAGATAGGGTTGAAGTCAGACGTGCAACAAGGCAGTCTACGTTTGACCATTTATATATCTCGATATCAATTAAAGTCTCTTCGAATCGTGGAAATCGATGACTCGGCACAGAAAACTGAAACGCGTTGCCAACAATCGAATTTGGGTCAGTTTACGTATAGTTCTCGCGATACGGGGTAACTTCTCAATTTCCACGAATTTCGCGTATTCGGGATACTTTAATTTTACCTATTCGGAACACGTTCTTCGTGTTCTTGCAAATACATCGCGAGTAACGTCCATTACGGACCTGCGGTGAATTGATTTTAAACGTATAGAAACGTTCAAAGACGATGGTCGTGTGGCATTTGCAGAAGTATGAAAGCGTGAAAACCTCACGACTTGATAAGCTGACAATGAATAACGTTCCGAAGCAACGTCACTACTTTTTATTTATAATAAACACAATATGACATATTTTTACGTGAACGAACAAGATGATTCAACGAAAACAAAGCGTACCGTTATAGGTGCGATAAGAATGGCCGGTATTTGTATTTTCCTTATATTTTTAACGAGGAATATAAAAGCAGATGACGCACGGTTTCACCTCTTATGGGTGATACTGTACAACGCGGAGCTATAGGATTCAACGTTGCACTCGAGATTAGCAGCACCGATTATTCGATTCCTTAACCGTCTTAAATAATAAGGACATTTCCACGAACCGTGACAGACCATCGATTATTATTATACCGTGGCGCTTTTACTCGTTAAACCTATCGTATAAAGTGAACGTGTTCGCTCGAGCTCACCGTACGCGAAGCGTTCAAGCGAGCGAACCGATGCAATCACAGGCAATTCCCTTCGAAACTCGAGAAGCTCGTGCTCTCCTTATTCGGCGTATTCTTGACATCATCGAGAGACCACAACACGTACTATGACTCATTCCCATCTGGTAGCGATGACAGAGAAAACCAGAGACATTTCTCTCCGAAGGGGTGTGTCTCTCTCACTCTCTCTCTCTCTCTCATCCCTGTATCCATTCGTTTGAGCCGTCTTCAACATCGATTTCAATCTACGACGAAGACAGAACATCCCACCGCGTGAAGTTCGTTTGATAGCATTCGATGGAAATCGACGTTAAAAGTGAGCGACGTGAAACTAGGTCTAAGACGAGGGATCACCCTCTTGTAGTCTGCTTGTCTCCACCGTAGAGATTCGCTGGAAGACACTCACCGAACCTGACACGATCAACGGAGGATATCTCTGGTTAAAATTCTAATATTAGCGCAGCGCATTCTCCAGTCGATACTCTAGACATCCACTACTACCACTGACTCCTCGCGACGGCACGCGACACCATATCTGTACGCGTGTGTACGTGTGAACGCACCATGACCACGGTGGAGCACGACGATGCTGCCGAAATGCAAGCACCTTACCTTTCGAGAATCGCGATTCTGCCAATCCGTCAGGAGTGTTGCGGCTAGATCGCGTCCACCATGGAACGAACTGTTTCTAGGTCGTGAAGGATGATCAACGACGTGAGAGTCATCGCCACCGTCTTGCCACGATGATACGCGTAACTAACACTTGCTGCTTGTAGGCCGCTGTCGTAACGCTGAACCG